GACGTTGCCCTTTATATATAATAGGATGGTTATTGATGTAATGGAAGATGCGAGCCCTCGATATCGTGAGAAGAAACGACATGATCCAGGAGGAGCACCGGAAGCTCAGGGAGGAAAACTCTTTTTTTGAGATCTAAATTAGAGGAATTGCTTTCTGAGCAGTCTTCTCAGTGCATTCTGTTTTTCCGAATGGTGTTACACAGTTTGCTATTGATCGTGCAAATGATGTTTCTGATGATCCTGACATGAAACGGTCTATCATTGTTTCGGGAGTTCCTGAATGTAACTCGGATAGGGCCCAGGAAGCAAATAATCATGATGCCTATTGTATCAATTCTTTGTTTGACTTTCTGAGTGTCAAATGCCTTCCTGTTTCCGCATGGGTAAGAAAGATCCACAAAAACCAAGGCTCATCTAAGTGATTTTACCCAGTAGTAAATTTCAAAAAGAGGCTTTACGACAGGCTCCTCGCCTGCGTTTCTTTTCTTATGAAAGGGTTTTCATACGCCCTTCACTTCCACCAGAAGAGAGGAGGCGCAGGCGAGATGCATGGCTCAGTCGCCATAATAAGTCTGGAGCGAATTATCGAAATGCTTTGCCTGTCTCGGAAAACAACTAGCCGTTCCTCGGTTTTGAGCTCCTTGTTTTTTGACGTACGTCCACTTCACAAAAATGCTACTTGCTTGGCGTATCCGTCAGCAAGTAGCATTTTTGTGAAGGAACCTATATTGGTCAGAAGACAAGAATTTGAGTACAGTATTGTTGCTATAACTGCAACCTGGATCAAATCCAACGTCCTGTTTGAGTCACTCTTGGGGGATCTTTGTTCTTGCTACATCATATTCAGGTGCGATAGAAAAAGAAAAAAGAGTGGTGGTGTGGCCTTGTATAGCAAGCTTTGTTCCTAGTCTGGTGTTTCTGAATGCACAATTGATGGTTATGAGATTCTTGTGGTCGATCTTTACAATACTGATTCTTCTTTTCGGACAGTTTCAGTATATAGAGTCCTCAGTCGTAACCCAGAAAGGACCAGACAGATGACTAAATGTGTTAGTGATCTCCCTTCTTGTCAGGCTAGCTGTCTCCTTATGGGAGATTGTAACTTTTCTGACCTTGCGTGGTTTCCTAACCCCTGTGGTCACTCCGGTAAATCACAGGTTTTTCTCACTATGCTTCTCAATCACGAGTACTTTCAATTTGTCGATTTTTGTACTAAGAATCGCAGCCTTCTTGATCTCATTCTTTGCAATGACAAATCCTCTATTTGTAATTCGGAGCTGAGTGCACCGTTAGGCAGTAGCGACCACGCAACGATAACTTTTGATCTCAAATTTACGTTTTTGAAATCAAAATCTGTGCTCAAACATAATTTCAGAAGTGCTAACTACCTTAGGGTTCATTCATATTTGGTTAGTATTGAATGGATAGGGTGCTTTAGTGGATGTAAGGACACGCATGAGATGTACGAGTTGTTTGTATTCGTCCTCAAGCACTGTATTCAATGGTTCGCTTCAATAGTTCAATAGTTTGTTGCATGTTGTAGGGGTGGACCATAGCGCTGGGGTTCATTTTTGCTAAATGGTACTGGGAATGTCAAAAAAGGTCAAAAATAATCCAAAAAGAATGGACTTTTTGAACCATCTTATTCGCCTCTGTTCAAACTGTAGTTGGCAGGGTATAGTATGTAGGGTATCCTTTGAGCAGGCATGAAAAACAGCGCAAAATAAGGTCAAAATTCGAATGTTTTACGGCATGTGGTGAGCTGCATTGGAGCTTTCCGGTCATTCCTCCTCAACAGGTTCTGCATTTCCCATGTCGCGGTGGCAGATGGTGTGGTGGATAGCGTTACAGGCTCTCATTCGGTGGATCCATGGATCGGATCCCCCTAGCGGTAAATCCTTTGCATTTTCCAAATTTCTTGCATCTTGTATTCCTGTATGCCCCATAATGTGTATGACCCGAATATACGCCATTTAAAGACACATTCCATGCGGAAATGGTTCACAATGAGGCCTCACTCAATTATTACGCTCGCGAAATACTACCTCCCTAAAGAGTCGCTATTCAGCATCGTTTAGAGGGGCCTTTCATTTGTCAGTATGCAGACGAGAATTAACAACTACAGAAAAAAATTGAGGCACATACACTGCACACCACTAATACCTTTGATATGGGAGAAACAAGATCTTTTTCCGGGCAGGTGGCAACGAGTTTTTTGTCGAAATTGCCGAAGACGGTAAAAGTGGAGAAACTTTCAGGATGCTTGTTTAATGACTCCGAAGCCAGCACAGTGTTCTATGTAAACCTACTAAAGTTGAGAGTGCAAGAAATGAAAAATTTCTGGTGGTTTGTATGCCAGAGAGGATACTCAATGGAGGGTTCGCCTGTCACTGCCATCCTAAACTTCAAGTCCATGACCACCGAAAAACTCGAAAAAAATTTTTCCGCTGAAATCTCTTAAATAGGGGTAATCACTGGCCCTGATCACGATTCTAACAATTATTTATGGCGCCGACGTGATCTGGGGCCATCGTGGCGCTAAATGGCTACTGCGAGCGCGAAGGGATGCTTAAACCCCTAAAGAAACTGCAGTGTACCTCACTGTATGCAAAGTAAAGCACTTCAACTTCGACCTTATTCAATATTGTTTTTCATGTCTAGTTGAGGAACACTTTGTAAACTATATGTTTATGTTTACAGCTGAAACAGATGCGAATGAGATGATAAAACTTGCGTATTTCGAGCGATTTGTTTTTATTCCTTTTTTGGCATTCCCAACAGCGTTTAGCAAAAATGAACCCCATCTATGTGGTCCTTGTATGGACCCCTACAACATGCAATAAATCGTTTTAAAAAAGCTCACTACGGCCTGAACGAACTCCCTTGTGAGTGCACCGTTAGGCAGTAGCGATCACGCAACGATAACTTTTGATCTCAAATATGATTTCAAAAGTGGAAACTACCTCAGGGTTCATTCATCTTTGGTTAGTATTGACTGAATAGGGTGCTTAAGTCGATGTAAAGACACCAATGAGATGTATGATGTGTTTTTATTTGTCCTAGAGCAGTGTGTTCAATAGTTCATTCCGCTGAAAAGATTTCCAGTGTCACGGAATAATTTGCCGCCCCATTTGCACAGGCTTTCTAGTAAGGAAATTTCCGCTTACAAGAAAGCCATGATAAGTAACGATTCCAGGATTGGTTAACCTTCAAAATTCTGTCGCAGAAAATTGACAAATGTCTTTTTAAGTTTAATTGTGCTGTTGAGAAAAAAATAGTGGAGTCGCAGAACAAGCGCTTTATTTCTAATTATATCAAAGCTCGGTTATATTCTAGAAGCGCAATTTCCACTCTTGCTAAGTCTGACGGTCAGCTGGCTATTACTGACATCGACAATGCGAAAACTTTAGCTGATGAATTTCAAAAGGTATCTGTAAAACATGATGGAGCTCACCCACGACCTCCTTTGGAATCCGAGTTTCGTAACATGGAAAACCTCGACCTGTTCAAACGCGATGATATTCTCAAGCTCCCCTTTGAGTGGCCCTCTAACTTCGCTCATACTCCTGGTGGTATACCTTTGGATTTTTATCAACAAAGTTGCTGCCTATCTCGCTGAGCCTCTAGAGCCTTTGTTTAATAGGAATTTGTTGTAATGAGGTTCCTTCTAGGTGAAAGCATTCGTTTGTTTCCGTTACCCAAGAAACCTGCTCACAACAACCCAGGGAATTACAGACCTATAAGCATCACATCTGTATTTTGCAGACTATTCGAAAAAATTATCAAAGAATTACTTGTGAAACACCTTGAGATTAATCAGGTCCTGCCTGAGTGCCAGCATGGGTTTAAGAAGGGGAGGTCTACGGTCTCTCAAATGCTCTTGCCACTTAATGACTGGACACTTGCTCTTGACCAAAAATCTGGTGTGAACATAATATAATTTGTTTTTTTGAAGGCGTTTGATAAGGTCTGCTAAAAATGTTGTTGTATAAATCACCACATGATAGTATCCATCCTGAGATTGTTCATTGGATCAAATCATTTTTATCCGGCCGCACTTTCCAAGTTAAGATTGATAATTCATTTTCCTCGGTGAAAGATTGTACGAGTGATTTCCCTCAGGGTGGAGTATTGTCTCCTTTCCTTTTTCGTCTACACCTCTGAACTTCTCTTGTTACTCAAAAATATTGCAATTACTTGCCAGATGTCTGCCGATGATATCAAAATTACAAGCCTGTTAAGTCCCCGAACAATTCCTTGTCAGTTCAAAAAGCCGTTGAAACAGTACTGAATGGTCTGTGATTTGGGCTTTCCCTATCAGCCTTGAAAAGAAAAATTTTTCATTTAGGTAAAAGTAATCCTAATCCTGGTTACTTTTATAACAGCATTCCTCACGCAATTGTTAGAAATTAAATGTTAAATTTGGATTCTCTTAAAAAGCATAGATTGAGGAATGACTTGATAACTTTATACAAAGCCATTCAGGGTACCATGCTTTTTGTTGCCCCTAAACTCTTCCCCTTTTCTACTTCGTCCACTAGCGGTGAGATTATCAAGCTGCGCTTCAGTAAGGCCACGGTTTCGGTTCGTAGTCACTTTTTTACTCAAGATGCTGGCAGCAAGTTTAGCAAACGAATTTCTTCACCTCTTAGCTATTCCTCCTTCAGACGAGAAGCTTCCCATTATCTCAAGAACATCAGCTAGTTGTATTTGTTTCTTGTTGTTTTCTCTTGTATTCACCTCGCATTTATCTCATTACTGGTGTTTTTTTTTACTTAACTCGTCGTTTTAACATATAATCTCTTAGATATGACATTATGGTCATGTTCTTCTTATGCTGAATTTCCCGGTTTAGTTGTTCATTGTCTCAGTTATTCACATGTCCATCCCGAGCATGTAATAAATAACTGGGTGGACCACAATCCCTCGATAATGTTAATTATGTTAATCGATTAGATGTCAGTGGTATCGCACGGTGACCCCTCTTACCTTTTAAAACTATGTTTGCCGGAGGATTTCTGCTAAATACACACGCTCTCGTGAACGGAGACGAAGAGCTAGCTCATTCACTCGCCCTTGCTTCCCGCCTGGAAATGAGCGGTGCATCTATGAGTAAGGCACAGTGGTTAAAATGGGGTGCGTAGCAAAAGAACCGTCCGGAGCTGGTGGGCGTAGTCTGCGACATACCTGCGGCGAGAAGACAATCACGCGGGCCGTTTGAATGGAGATATTGAAAGGACGGTAAAGATTGGTATCACCCAGGATCAAGTCTTGTGTTCAATTACGGTTTGAACTTTTGTTTGCTTTGATGCGGTGCATCTATGAGTAAGGCACAGTGGGTAAAATGGGGTGCGTAGCAAAAGAACCGTCCGGAGCTGGTGGGCGTAGTCTGCGACATACCTGCGGCGAGAAGACAATCACGCGGGCCGTTTGAATGGAGATATTGAAAGGACGGTAAAGATTGGTATCACCCAGGATCAAGTCTTGTGTTCAATTACGGTTGAACTTTTAGTTTTCCTTTGTTTTTTTTCCATACAGTATGGAAAAGTTAATTAGAACATGAATTTCATTAGGATCTCAAACGTTTGCTCAGGTTGTCATCTCGGAGCAGCTCACAGGAAAACTTGACCATTTATCTATCAGTCTTGACACTGACGCATGCGCGAATCATGTGAACAACATAAACATAGGGAGAATAACTGCCCTATTTGTTTTCTTTTGTATTTGTTTATTTCCTGAAATTGCGTCCATAGATCCGCTAAACAACTGTGTTACTAACGGGAGAAACTTCGTTAAATCTTCACTTAATTATGGAATTATGGAATCTGGTGGACGTTGCGGATGTAAGCTGTAGTGGATCAATTGCTCCAATCGCAAAACTATCGGCTAGCAAATGCACCTCCGTGAGCTGATGCGGCATTCGTCGCGCGACGCGCCGCGTGCCGCGGGCGCTGCCCCGGACGATTCTGTTACACGTCTCCTGTTAAAATGTGCGTTTCACACTTTTTGCGTGCTAGTGTGTTGCGTCGGCCTTGTAATGGGAGCGTGATTGCCCGAAAAAATGTAATCCGGGTCCAGATCTAAGAAATCTGGTAACTCAGAAAGTTACTAGTACTCATGGTAGTATTTTGCGCCTCAAACTTTTACATTAATCATGGAAAATTTAGGTTTCGCACAGGTGCCGGCCCTGGTTCGTATTCGAGTGGCCATTCTTTCAGAAAAGCGTTTCTAGGCGGAGCTCTAGGAGCTGTCGGAGGCCAGTTTTACATCTCATGAATAGTTAAACCGTTTACATCATCAACAACAACATCAGGCGCAGTTCGGCGACGGAGGGGGGGGGGCACCTTGCACATTCCCCGTTTCCCAGCGACGTCTCGACCTATCTAGACAGCCTCTTCTCGAGTTGACAGGTTTTACCATGAGGAGTGGCGACCTTGCTCCAGCTTCATAAGGGTTCACAGGTTTCGCCAGAGTGGGACTTGTAAACCGGAACTAGGGAAGCAATGATAGTATAAAATGTCCCTCGTTGCCGGACTGCGCCACAAAATCATCCGTTCCCATACAAATTAGCCATGCGTGCAGTATTATCCAAGATGAGTCGAACCTACGAGAATGGGGCTGCTGCATGCATCGTAGCATACAGGCATCCTGGATATGCTGCCTCGTCTACCTCCAACAAAGGCAATATGACTGCCACAGGGAGCAAACAGTCTACTCACAGGCACATTCCGCTGGAGGTAGGCGATCGTTGGGAGCGTCATTGGGGAAGATGGTCTACAAAGCATTAGGCAGTTTGGTCAAAGGCCCTCCTTCAGTTAGTTCACCAATGATGCAGACAACAAGCGCAATCTAGCAATCGCCACTGTCACTAATAGTTGTCGAAAAATAGTCAAAGGGGGTATAAACAAACATGGCAATATTCGGGCAGAAAGTCTGTCGGCTGTGATCAAGGGATACCAACTTGGACAAAAATTAGCCAGAACCAGTTTTCAGTATTGTAGGTATGCTGGCATTTGAAGCAGGCAAATACATCATTCTATCCATGGATACCCCAGTCTCCTACGAAGGCCGGGATTACTTCTTCGATATTTATCCAAGAATGAGGAATGAAACCATAAATGAAACCATAACCCATTCTAACCTAATGCTGTGCTCAGTGCCTCTCGAAGAGTTGAAAAAAGGTGCGAAAATTGCTTACAACTTCATCCATTCTTACGCATACGAAAAGGGGTACATTTCGATAAGGAGCCTTTTTCGTTCCAGCAATACGATTATTTCCCTTGAAAACCACGCTAGTCGCAGAGGCGGAGCTGGACCAAGCGTTGCGCTTTTATCATTGATTTGCTCCTCCCCATGTGCCTTAGCTAGAAGTGACGCACCAATGAGAGAGGCACAATTATTGCCGGCTCCACCCATAAAGAAAGCGTGGACTGCTCCTCCAAGATCCCTTGAAGTAAACCGTTACTCTTCATTTCAGCTGTCCGGTAAGCCGGTGAGAGCAAAACGCAGAGATCCATGGTCATCGAGCACAACATCACTACTCACCACTATTTCTACCCCGCCGACCACGATGAAACCTGATAAAATTTTGGATAGCGTGAGTACCATTTAGTCAGGGCATAGTTGGCATGACATATTCGGCGTACCCTTTAATTCTTGATGCAAGCTCTGACAACCTGACATCCTTGTAACAAAAGTTCTCATAAGGAGCCAGAAATGGAGAATTACCTTTCTCCCAATGTCAACTAATTAAAGCATTAGGCAAATCAGCTGAACAGAGATGTTTTGGAACATATATGAAAATCTCGAGAGAGAGAAGTAAATAGCTGCAAGTCAAGTATGCTACGACCTCGTTCTTGTGAAGCAACGCGCTTATTCACTACATCACCGGCCGCCCGCACAGTCGCCTACACTTCCTGACTTGTGCGAACGGAACAGAGATTAAATGGTTCAATACCCCCTTCAGAGAACCGTTCCGCAAATTTCTAGGGCAAATTTCAGTGCAGGGGCTGAAGGCAGGCCCATCCGTACACATCCTATCGCAAATGGCCGGATCCACTTGTCGGGGTTCCCTTGTCAATGTTTTCATAACCGCGGGCCTTCCAAGTGTTGTGGCTCCGGGCACATCATCATGTTGTGGGAATCTCGCCGAATACAACTCATACCCCTTCCCTGCCTGTCTCCCGCATAAATTTCTCCCTTCACTTAGGGCCCCTTTCATAGCCTACTCACCGTTTTACCTAATCCTGTCCAATTCTTGGAAAAAAAATTTGTACCTGTCGCAGAGCGTTGCCCAGCGATACTGTTCCGGTAGTTGAACTTTCCCATTTCACGCGTGCTATTATTCAAAATATGGAAAATATTCTAGAAATTTGGTAGGAATTGGGAGGGCTCAGCGAAGCGGCAGATAGAATGGGAAAGAGGTCGTATCTCAGTAGGAACTTTCAGAAGGGACATGTTGTACTAAAACAAGTCACCTCCTCGTACTGTGCCCTTTCTCAAAGCAGCCAAAAGAATAGTCAGACAAAAAAATCGTGGAATAAACACGGAATCAGTAAAGGAAATAATACGAATGTAGGAAAAATATAGCGACAACAATGGCTTTAAAGTCTATTCTCATGGAAATTTGATTCTCCTGGAGAATAGCCAGGACTGTGCGCCTCAGGGCGGTATCAGCCATTACACCAAATGTGCCTTGATTTTCAAAATTTTCACAAAATTACCTAATTATTATCTTTGCAGATACAATATAGGAACGGTACGCGACCACAAGTTATTATGTGGGCATGTATCAGAGATGCTGAATTATGCTGTGGTACAGACTGTTGTCCCGAGGACGATGGTATAACCGTGGACGATGTTTTTAGGTGGATTGGGTGAGTCACTCGAGGTTACATTCAAGTCAACTAAATCATATGGACCCTTCCGTTGTAGCCTTATCATCATCATTGTTTTAATTGTATCTTCTGTTGCGGTTTGTTATGTTATATCTTAATCATCCTCTTCGCCCCTAAAGGTAAGTACTACCTTTTCTAGTTGTTTCCGGGTTTTTTTTCTATCAGTGAGCTGGGCAGAATCAACCTTATAGAAGCCCCTGACTGCAGCGTGTACTTATCATGAGCATCTGAGCGGCACCACCCACCAACAGCCTCTGCAGTAAACTTCATGCAGGAGTAGAATGATGTTTCGAGCTACGGATCTTTTTACACCAATTTCCAGGAGTTTTTTTGGCACGCGTGAGCCGTGCACCAGCAGCTCTCCCGTAATACACTTCATATCTCTGATATGAAGTGGCTGCGCACTTCATTTGAACGTAGTGGCGGCTTCCCTTGCGGTGGAATAGTTTAGTTGTGAGACAGTTGTACTTATGATATCGTCCGCCTTAATATGTATGGGATGAAAGTTGTTCCAAATGGGAATATCCGTGCAAAAGACGCACCCTACGCCATGTTCGAGATAAGCACGCAGCCACGCCCCTACAACTCCCGGATATCGAGTGTGGTTCCGTTGTATGAATCAGGTGTCGAGTTAAATACATTTTTCTTAGTAATCGGATGGGAGGAAAATTGAACTGGAGCTCCCAACCACTAACTCTTTCTCGTTGCCTCTCCTTTCTCTGTATTGCGAGCAAGACAACACAGACGGGAGAGGCACAACAGTCGTAAAGGGACAGTAAGGCAATCGTGATACGCCACTGTGATGGGCATGGCAAGCAACGTCACGCCCGACAGACGAGTTGTCCTGCCTAGCCGTTTCAATATGAGTGTCAAGAATAAAGGAAAATCCGATATTTGGCGTCATGGGGTTTTGTTTTGGCTCGGGATGTGAATTTCGCTGCTATAATTCACAAACCAGTGCTCACCAAGAATCGCGGTGCATGGCACAAATGCACAACGGCAGCAGGTGGTGTGGCGCGGCTAATTATAACTGTCTGGTCGCCGACAGCTGAAAATGTTATTGGAGACTGGGAAGTGAGAGGCAGTTCAAACAACCGCTGATTTCTAATAAAACCTAAATCACTGTGCATAAGGCTGCGTTTATACTTTGCGGCAGCGTAGCGTAGCGCTTCTAGCGTACGCCACGCTGCCGCAAAGTATAAACGCAGCCTAATAGCCCATCAGTACCGATATTTTTATTCGATCCTTTCTATGAAACACTCAAAGTGCTCAATATTTCAGCCCTGCAGGGTGTCCAACCTGATAATCCTTCACCACAAGTGCATGGACCCGACGGCTGCCCACAATCCTATCCACCTGAAGGCGACACATCTACGGATAAACCT